TGTTGTCAGCGATCACAGAAAATGTGATCGATAAAGCTAGGAGAGCAGCCATACCGACGTGGATCTAAAGTACACTTGGAATTGATGAATTCTTGTTTCTTTCCTTTTCTTGCTTATTTCTTTTTCTTGCTTATTTCTTTATAATTTATAATATTTTTATTTTAGATGCAAGGAAACAGTTGGACACGTGTAAGGAGAGAATCTCGAGGCTAAAGCCAAAGCCAAAGCCAAAGCTCGAAGGATTCGACTCAACCAAGTGATCATCAAATCAATTTGGTGCATCGAAATGGACGGAATAGGATTTGCAAACGATATTTTCAAATTCAAATTGCAAACGAGATACAAAAAAAAACGAAGAGAAAGACAGGCAGATCGCCCATGCAAAACGACGAAGGATCAAGATCGAGCAATGCACAAATACCATTTTCTATCTCCCACTCACACGGCTACCGATGGAAAATCGTTCTTGAAACGGAGACTTCGAGTCAATGTAACCGCAGGACTGTGCGAAAGTGCGAAATTGACAAAACACTTGGAGTGTACTCGATAAAATTTTTGCTTATTTCCTTTTCTTTATAATTTTTTCTTTCCTATTTCTTTATAATTTATAATGTTTTTATTTTAGATGCAAGGAAACAGTTGGACACGCGAAAGGAAAGAATCTCGAAGCTAAAGCCAAAGCCAAAGCTTGAAGGACTCAACCAAGTGATCATCAAAACAATTTGGTGCATTGAAATGGACAGAATAGGATTTGCAAACAATATTTTCAAATTGGCAACGCGAAGAGAAAGACAGGCAGATCGCCAATGCAAAACGACGAAGGATCAAGATCGAGCAATGCACAAATACCATTTTCTATCTCCCACTCGCACGGCTACCGATGGGAAATCGTTCTTGAAACGGAGACTTCGAGTCGATGTAACCACTAGGACTGTGCCCATGCAAAATGAGGAACATCAAGCTCTGCACAAATATCATTTTCTATCTTCCACTCACATACTGATAGGAAATTGTTCATGAAACGAAGATTCGGAGTCAATGTAACCACTAGGACTGTGCAAAATCGACAAAACACTTGGAGTGTACTCGATAAAACCGGCGCTCAAACCGTTGATGAATCTACGACACAGACAGCAACGATTACAGTTTGCGTTAGAACACTGGTGAATTGATTTCGATCGATTGATCACACTCTAATTCTGGACAGGTCTAGCTTTACAACCTGAAACTGTTAGAAGCAATGTCTGAACGTATTCCTGGCCGATTGCCCACTAACCGTATCATCCAAATTGTTATTATTCTTTGGAAGAAGAGCGCCAACAATTGTGAGCATTGTGACTAAAGTAGCCGGTAGAACGATCACAAAATGATAGTAAAAAGTGTCGCGCTGTAGTTGGAGCATGAAATAGATCTTAAAGATGAGATGTTTTCAGAAAGAAACCACAAATTTCTACTCACATCATTTATAGCAATGAAAAGTTCAGGCTTTGCACTGCACACATTAAAGCTTTGAAGTTCAAATTCAATGTTTCCCTAAAAGTTTTCGATTTCGATTGATTTTTCAATCTTATTTACTTACAACAACGGATATTTCATATTGTTTGTATCCAAGAAATCTTGTGATCGTTCGATTTACATCAAAGTTTAATAATCGAAGGCCACAAAAGAATTTATCAAAGGGAAAACTGAAATCGTTTCTTGTTTTACAGCAGATCGAAACCCACCGTCTAAATCTCATCTCGCAATCGACTTTTGAAAAGAAAATCTGCGTGAATGTGACAATTCCATCTTTTGTAATCGTAGCATCAAGCTCGTCTCCATTTTGGAGCACTTTCGTGCTTCTTCTAGAAACTTTTGATATAACTTTCTATAAAATTTCGGCGCTTGCGTAGTTTCCGGATGTTTTGAACGGGTCATCACGCTTTGAAGGCCTATAACTTTTTCTAGGGATAATATTTACGTTAACTTTTTATATAATTGTATAGAGAACATTTCAGGCTTTCAAATGGTATCAAATAGAGCTTGACTGGATTTTTCATTCCCATGCAAACAAGGCGACACGACACCCGAGTTGGATAGGCCTGATTTTCCCAGAGTTGGCTCTGATTTTGTTGAACTTGATGATCTAATTAGACTCTATTTGGTATCATTTGAAAGCCTGAAATGTTCTCTGTACAATTATATAAAAAGTTAACGTAAATATTATCTCTGGACAAAGTTATAGGCCTTCAAAGCGTGGCGACCCGTTCATGCTCTTGCGTAGTTTCCGGGTGTTTTGAACGGGTCATCACGCTTTGAAGGCCTATAACTTTTTCCAGGGATTATATTTACGTTAACTTTTTATATAATTGTACAGAGAACATTTCAGGCTTTCAAATGATACCAAATAGAGCCTAATTAGATAATCGAGTTCAACAAAATCAGAGCCAACTCTGGGAAAATCAGGGCTATCCAACTCGGGTGTCGTGTCGCCTTGTTTGCATGGGAATGAAAAATCCATTCAAGCTCTATTTGATATCATTTGAAAGCCTAAAGTGTTCTCTGTGCAGTGATATAAAAAGTTAACGTAAATATTATCTCTGGACAAAGTTATGGGCCTTCAAAGCCTGGCGACCCGTTCAAAATACCCAGAAACTACACAAGAGCCAAACTTTCTATAATTTTCTATTTCTTCATTTTGTGCAAATAACTTACGCATTAAAAATCGTGTAGCGAGGAGTCCAAATGGAAGAAGTTGGAAGATACAAGAAAGAGTTATTCCCGTATTGAGCTGGATCAAAACGAAGCCTTTCATCGGGCCAAGTCTACAAAAAAAGTTATTTTACTTAAAAGAAATCAAATTTACGAGATTCACAGCATAAAATAAAGTAGCCATTTGCTCATCGCTCATCACTTTTCCCAGGCTAACAAACGGAGTCGAAATGTTGACAACAACTGTTTTGAGATTGCTAAAAGTTGCGAAATTTAGAGATTGAAATTTTGAAAACTTACTAGTAGTATGGATTCATTTTCGGATCATAGTTCTCAAGTAATTTGTTTGGATTGTAGCCATTCTCTGAATGAAAAGCGTACAAGTTTAGTACAAGTTAAGTTCTCGAGCTTGTTTCTACTGCTCTTCCCGAGCTTGTTTCTACTGCTCTTCCCGAGCTTGTTTCTACTGTTACTGCTTAACTCACCAGCCACTCCTTGAGTAGTAGACATTAAAACTGTTAAATAAAGAAGTCGAAGCATTGATTTAAAGCATTGAAGCAATCGAAGCATTGAAGCAAACAGTTTTCAGTTTAAACCATCAATCTATTATTAAGATTAAAATGAAATTATGATTAAGAATGGATTATTTAATGTTGAGCAGAAGCTGTTGAGCTTCTTTCGGATCTCATGGCACTTGAGTCAAGTGAGGGCCAATGCCAAACCACTTCAAATCCCACAAATCCTTCAAATTCAAATAAATTCTGGTTTTCAGCCCAAAATCCTTAGGTTTGCGAATGAATTTTCCCGTTTCAATATCAATTTGGATTACTTGTTTATAGAAATTAGAAATTTAGGCACTGATTGTTTAAAATAAATAGTTTTATATATATATACTTTATCCGACAAGGAAAAGTGACAATGCAAACAGATTGAACAGCGTAGACGAAGAAAGATAATTGATATACAAACACAACTACAATTAGACACGTGTATATATGATATTAAAAATTAATTTAAAATTGACAGAGCTACAAGATCGAGCTTATATATTGAGGATTTAAAATAGTTCAGAGACGAAAAAATATCACAAGGTAACTTATTCCAAATACGAGGAACACGACAAGCAAAAGAATGAAGCAATTTAAAACCATTTTTTTGAAGCAATTTAAAACCATTTAAAACAATTTAGAACAATTTAGAACAATCTAGAGCAATTTAAACCAATTTTAAACAATTTTAAACAACTTAAAGCCATTTAGAACAATTTAAAGCAATTTAGAACAATTTTAAACAATTTTAAACAATTTTAAACAATTTTAAACCATTTTAAACAATTTTAAACAATTTAAAACAATTTAAAACAATCTCTGACAAGCTACTAATGTATTTTACTAGTCGTAGTAACCAATGGTGAGCAAAAGAGTCAAAGTTTCAGGGCAAGTTAAGCTAAAACCAAGGATTTCCAAGGGTTTTAGGCTAAATTCACTGAAATGTAGGTCAATTAAAGTCCATTAAAGCTTTAGCTTGACATGGCTAGCTTGCTAGTTGCTAGAACTTTGGCTTTCTTTTGTACTTTTCTCACTTGAAAAGAAAAGAAACTTTTCTCACTTGAAACCTTAGAACAACGCCGTCTTATCATAGATTTGGTTGAGTGCTTTGAAATTGTAAAAGGAAAACATCAAAACCCTCTTTTTAAAAATCTTTTTCGACTAAACTCGAGGCTTTTGGCGACTAGGCGTGGCTCTTTTATCTTTTGGCGACTAGGCGTGGCATCCCGAATCTGCTCTGCTTTCTCTAAATCCTCTAGAGCTTTTTTCGTAAATCGTGTGACTAAAGTTTGGAATGCCCTTCCCAACAAGTTGCGTTTGATCTCCACCGTGTCTGATTTTAAAAGGGCTATTTCGTTGCATTTTAAGTGACTTTGTCATCTTTTATCTAGTACATTTTTCGTGTCGTTTTCGCACTTTATTTCTTTCTGAATAAAGTATTGAATAAAGCAAAAGTGCGGTCGTTTCCAAAAGTCATCCTTATCAAATTTCGGTCGGTTCTCATCCCCATCATCTTTACCTTTATCATTCTTTTGCGAACCGTATTAGTAGGGTTTTATATTTTCAGTTTTCAATTCACCAACCTAATAGCTGAATAAAGTATTTATATATACTGAAATCAATTTTATTACTCAAATGAAAGAAGAATGAATTACTCAAAGAAATAGGTATCTTCTAATCCATCATAAAATTCAAATTTCCCTCGATTCCAATCATTTGAGAAGAAAATGAGCAAATTTATGCCCAAAAATCCTTGCATTACCAAGCACAAGATGATCGAGAATCTGAATGAAAGTTTTTAGCAGAAAATGGCAAACCTTTACCTTGTTGTTAGCTTTTTTGAATTGATTTGACTCTTTCCCTCTTTATTTGAAATGAAGATTGTAAAGCATGAGGCTGTGAAGTTTTTCTTTGACATCTTTTTCATCTTTTCCATCATGATTCCAAGGATTACAGAGATTAGACAAATCGCCAAGCAGATGATGACAAAACAGCCTTAAAAACAATGACGATTAACCTAATATGCAAACAATTTGACTACCGTAAATACTGTAATAGTACCCCACCGTCATCATCGTACAGTCGGGTAGTCGCAAAAGTTTTTTAGTATTTCATTTTTTGCAAAGCACCCGTACTTTCAAAAAATGCGTCTTTGGTATCAAAAAATAGCCCTGAATTTCAGCTATTTTTTGATACCTAAACGAGCATTGTAACCAGTCTCGAGAAACAATCGTCCAAAGCTAGACTACACAACGCTCCACACCGTCATTATGGGGGTGGGGTACTATTACAGTATTTACGGTAATTGGATTCTTGACTTGTTGATATGTACTTTGTGCTCATAATGGTGAACTGATTCTCTCATTCTTACAATTCGGTGCACTAGAAAGGATGTGTTTTGACTGAAGGATGTGTTTTTATGAAAACATGAAGAATTTGAACACATTGTATAAGACAAACCAATCGGTGGCACAACGTTCGACCTCGGGAAATCGTTGGCAATGATCGAGAACGTGATTGAGAGGGATAAAAGAGCTGTCATTCCAGTGCCAACCTGTAGATGCTCAGGCTCAGGCTCAGGCTCAGGCCAACATTTCCAAGCATTCGAACAAACCAAGCATTAAACTAACCGGATTTCCCTGATCCTCACTCGATATTGGCAACAAAACCCCAATAACAGTCAATGATGTCACAAAAGCTGCTGGTAGAACAATCACGAAAATGTAATAGAAAGTATTGCGCTCGAATTTGAAGAAGAAACCGGCCTGGGAGTTGAAGTTGGAAACTGGCTCTACAATATAGCTCTTGTACTTACCTCAATATAGCTCGAGGCACCAGGTTTCAGATTTGAGATGTTATAGCCTTTACTGTGAAATTCGTGATTTCCCTGAAAGGAAGCTGGCTTGTAAGAGCTGGCTTGTAAGAGCTGGCTTGTAAGAGCTGGCTTGTAAGAGCTGGCTTGTAAGAGCTGGCTTGTAAGAGCTGGCTTGTAAGAGCTGGCTTGGAAACTGACTAAGTTCGGTTTTCAGTTGCCCGTTTCAGAAGCCAACTTACATCGAATGTCCCTGTGGGATCTCTCAATGCCTGAAGCTTCACTATTGTCATATTCCTTCTGCTTTTCGTGATTTGAAGAAAACAAACGAGACGATCGAATGGAAATCTGAACTTCGAGAATGAAATTTAGCTCTATTCAGCTAACTTCTCTAATCTAGTCCCACAAAAGACTGTGGAATAGAAAATCTGTGTGAAGGAGACGTCTCCATTCTTTGAGATCCTCACATCCGAACTTGGACCATTTTGTAAGACTTTTGTGTCAATGCTAAAGGAGAAATTGTGACAGGAATTGTAACAGGAATTGTTACAATCTTTAAGCAATACTTACGCATTTAAAATACTGTATCTTGGTATCCATACTGTTGTTGATGGAAGATAAATCTCGGTTTCATTATCATAATTGTTTGGATCAAAGCGAAGTCTAGCATCCGTCCATTCCTAATTGGATTGAAAAGATCGTTGGTTGGTAAAAAAGATCGTTGGTTGGTATTTTTCTCAATAGTATGACACTCCTTTGTGTTAAATTTACGATAAATCCGATTTAAAGCTTGTGAAGCGAGCTAGAGAGGCTCTAAGTTGGGCAGAAGCGCAAAAAAGTCCTGACAATCCGACTTTGAGTCCCTCTAGCTCGCTCCATAAGCTTTAAATCGGATTTTTAGCTCACGGGTCCTATGTAAATTGATAGGGGGAATCGATTGGTGATGATTAGAAGTTTCCTGGATAACCGCTAAGGATCTAAAACCTCTATCTTTCCAAACTTTTCTCACAAAAATGTAGATCTTTCTGACTGAATTTCATTTTCGGAAAATTTCATTGTAGCGAAGATGTAGCCTGAAGATTTTCGGTTTAAATTGGCGCTAAGTTTCAGGGCAAAGCTCTAGCGGTTCTGGACAAAGCTCTAGCGGTTCTGGACAAAGCTCTAGCGGTTCTGGATAAAGCTCTAGCGGTTCAGGGCAAAGCTCTAGCGGTTCTGGACAAAGCTCTAGCGGTTCTGGACAAAGCTCTAGCGGTTCTCCCAAAAACACCGAAATCCTGGCTATGAGCCTGGTACCTTTTACCTTTTTTCGAAAAAAGACATCGAAAACTAAAATGATATTTCATATTATTAGGAAAAATACACTATTTGGCACTTCTATGATGAACATTTGGAGAGAATCGTGACTCAATCTGAAGACAACTCTTTAAACTCACAAGGTGTACCATGTACAAGAGAGTCGCTGTCTGATCATCGGTCTTCACTTGCCCCAAACATACAAATGGAATCGTGATATTGACAATGACAACTTCTTTAGATCTTTAAGATTTGTTTGGATTAAATATTCTATTCAAAGTAGGTACTTGTAATATGGATTTAGTTTGAGATCGTAGCCTTCTAGAAGTGTTGTTGGCTCCAAAGCAATGGCTGAATTAAACTGATATTGGAAAAATGAAGTGAGCTCAACCTTCTTTAACAAGTAGAAGCAAGAAGTAAATCATTAGTTTGCTGAAAGCTCAGCTTGCTTGCTTGCTTGCTCAGCTTGCTTGCTTAGCTTGCTTGATTGCTTAGCTTGCTTACTTAGCTTGCTTGCTCAGCTTGCTTAGCTTGCTTAGCTTGCTTAGCTTGCTTAGCTTGCTTGCTTGCTTGCTCAGCTTGCTTAGCTTGCTTAGCTTGCTTGCTTGCTTGCTTGCTTGCTTGCTTGCTTAGCTTGCTTGCCCAGCTTGCTGAAAGCTCCGCTTGCTTGCTCAGCTTGCTTGCTCAGTTTGCTTGCTCAGCTTGCTTGTTCAGCTTACTGAAAGCCCAGTTTGCTTGCTCAACTTCCTCAAAATTTACAACAATCAAATACAATAGTCGATTACTTTTCAATGAATTCAATCAAAAACAAATATCATTTATTTTATAGAAGATTTATAATCTCATAATTATTATTATAATGTGTTTTTATATCGTGATCATCTGAATCCCATGAAAAAGAAAAGAAAATAAGTAGATTGCTGACGAGAACTCCTTGTAAAAACAGAAAAAACAGGAACGAGAGTCTAAAGAAAAATTGATAAAGAAAAATAAAGAAATGAAAAGTTTAACAAGGAAAAAAGTAAGTTTAACCTGTTCAATGAAAGCTTGAAAGTCTCAACGGATGTTGCTTGAACGATCAAAAACAAGCAACACGATTGCTGTCCCTTTTCTGCCGATTGTTTCAATCTGGCCAGGAAAAGCCCAAGTCCTATTGAAGCCACACAAACTGCAAGACAAATAAGCACAAACCATCCTGAAATTATTTCTGAAAGCTTTATTTCGACAACAACATTCTCACCTATAAGTGGCACATAAGTTGTCCTCGGAATATTATTCGCAACAACGGATAAATTGATCGACAATGCCAATAAAGCATTTAATCCAATATTTGCCTAATATAAAAAGAATTACCAGCAGAAGAAGCTCCGAAAAGCCTGTTAAGAGCAGGTTTTTTCAGAACTTCTTTATTGTCCCCATGGCTCAGTCGGGGGGACGCTTGACTCTAAAGTCGCCCCCGAGCTCGACCTGGCTGGGTTCGACCCCCGGCTCGTCCAGCTCAACCTTGAATTTTTTTATTTTTCATTTTAATTTGTAATATTATAATATTATAATTATTACAATCTAAAGTTTTCTAAAGAATTTTTAGCTTTATTGGCCAAGCAACGGCTTAGAAAATGCCAACAGACAAACAAACAGACAAACAGGCAGCTCTTTTATGTATAGTAGATCAACCATTCAACCAACAGGATCAATATTGTTACTCTTCGAAGTTGGTGACAGAATGCTCGTCACAGTTACACAAGAGACAAGAGTTGTTGGAATAATCACAACTATGATGAAATAGATTGATCTTCTTTGAAGTGTTAGGTAGAAATGAACCTAAAATTGATTGTAAAGGCTTTCAAGTGAATTTCCCACTTCGTTATTATCCTGATTATGGCCAGGTTCATTGCCAAGATATGTGATTGCAGTGAAGTTGATCAGAGTGAACTCGTCATTGCCCTGTAACTCTACGATCCTGTAACTTGGATTAGATCTTGACATTGCTAGATTGCTTGGATTGGATCTCGAGATTGCTAGATTCAGACCTATTCTGCTAACAATAAGCATAAAAATAGAATAAGGCTGCTCAAGTCTAGATAAATCCAAAAGCAGCTGTCGAAAACCCACAGCAGCCATCGAATACCGTGCTCTGACAGCTTGAAGTCTCATCACAGTCATGTTGATTGTCGTCGAGATTTGAATTCCGCAAAAAAGTTTGTCAAAAGGGAAACTGAAATCCGAATTGAGAAAGATTTCGAATTCAAGAATTCAAACCGTTTTATCCATCCATCATAGTGAACTTTTGAGTTAAAAATTAAACTTTGTTCGATTCTTCCATTACTTTCAATTCGCACATCAGAATCCGCTGCATTCGAGATGATTTTCGTGGAAAAGCTGAAAATTGAACTAAGAAATAGTATTCTTTGAGTTCAAAAAGATACAAATTTAAGCTCTAGTTGAGTTTTTTTTTGTTTCACTTACGCGTTGTAAATGCTATAACGCGGAGTCCAAATTTCACTTGATGGCAGATAGAGATATGTTGAGTTGTTGTAATGTTTTGGATCAAATTTCAGTCTTTCATCGATCCATTTCTAGATATTTTATTTAAAAGAAAGGTATTCGTTTTACTAAATCAATCCCATAAAGAATCGTTGCCAGTTTCTCATCGCTTAGAACTGATCCAAGGAGAACAAATGGCACAGCGACATTCAAATGAAGAGTCTCGTTTTTGCTGAATGGAAATTAAAGATATTTAGAGAATTAAAGATATTTAGAGATTTAGAGCTTTAGAGATTTAGAGCTTTAGATATTTAGAGAGTTAGAGATGCAATTTAGATATTTAGAGCTTTAGAGATTCAATTTAAAGACTACTTACACATAAAAGGGATTCAATCTTTTATCATAGCTTCCCAAAAACTTTGTCGGATCAAATGTATAAACTAAAGCTTTCAATAAATCTTTCAACAACTCTGAAATTTCTTTTACCTTTACAAAAAAGAAACAAAAATATTAGAAGCATTCAATTGCTGAATTTCAAAAATTTCAATAAATACCCATTTTGTTTGTCGAAAATGAAAAGGTAAAACGATAGGGGGACACGTGCAAATTTTTTGGGAACCTTTTCAAGTGGTAGCTTCTGAAAAAAGGGAATTTTGGAGGATTGTCGGAATTCTGTTTGTTGGGTCAATTCAGTGACAAATTTCTTCTGTTTCATCCATTTTTAGGTTCCAGATCGGCTTGAAGTGTTTGGGTGACGCGAAGTTGAAATCATTTCTTGGCTTTACTCTTGTTCGATCAGCTCTCAACTGCTTGCAAGATTCACAATGAAAACAAAATGTCTCAGATTTTAGTGTACTGGATTGTGTCTCAAAAAAGATACGCTTTTCCGGTGAAGATTACAATCGAAGTGATTGAGAAAGAGAAGTTGAGATTGGGATTTGTTTGACAGATTGGATAGCGATGCTCAGTCAAGCAGCTATATTCAGACAAGTCTGACAAGATTATTGACATTCTGACAGTCTGATTATTGACAAGTCTGATTTATTAGGTATATGCATCAGAAATGAGGATTTCAACATTTCCATAAATTTCCAACGATAGAAACCTGATATCGTTGAATGTTATATACTATTTGAAAGTTGTAAATCTCGTCTACAAAATAGGCTAAAACGTGTTTCAATTGATCGAAGCATTGAAGGAATTTCGAGGGCGAAATGCGAGTGACCAAAAAAGGGCACTTTTTGAAAACTTCACCTTCACAACAGTTCGGTCTTGACTATATAGTGGAAAATGAGCGCCCTAAATATCATTCAAAATAATTTTATTCAAAATAATTAAGAGTTGGGATCATTTCATGGGAAAACTTTGTTTTTACAATAATTTTTCTTTTTTTGACAATTTTGAGCGTTTTGAACTTACGCTCTATCTAAATTTCTGTAAATGCATTTCCGTTAGACTTTTTAATGAATTGATTTATAGTTATCCTTTTTTTAAATCTTCAATTTTGGGAAGCTAACTCTATTTTGACGACACTAAACTTGTCCCTAAAGTGACTCGATTCCTTTTTTGGTCACTCGCATTTCGCCCTCGAAATTTCTTCAATGCTTCGATCAATTGAAACACGTTTTAGCCTATTTTGTAGAGGAGATTTGCAACTTTCGTTTACAACATTCATAAGAGTATATAACATTCATCGATTCTAGTTTATAACATCAGGTTTCTATCGTTGCAAATTTATGAAAATGTTGAAATCCGCATTTCTTATGCATTTACCTAATAAAAGAAGTTTTATGATTGAATGATTGCCTTATACCTGAAGCAAGAATTGTCAAATCGTACATTCATATCGTACAAATCGTACGTACAAATCAGGTTTCTATTGTTGGAAGTTTTCATAAGTTGATGCATTTAAAAAAACGATAGAATATCTCTAAAACGATCTCTAAAACTTTCTCCAACAGTATTTCCTTACTTAAATTTTTTGTTTTATTTTGAGATTGTTTGCGTTTATTAGCGTTTACTTTAGCTTGAACTTTAGCAATGAATTGTTGAGTTGTAGAGTAACTCTTGCCCTATTAACTGTACTAAAGTCTTCATAGAGTTCATTCTTGGTTCTTTATCAAGCTTTATTACACATAATAAGTATTCCGCTGATCTATACAACTAATTTACATGGACGAATTTACATGGACGATGAGTAAGAATAAGTATACGATGAGTAGACGATTAGTAGAACGATTATGAGTAGAACGAGAAATAAGTAGCTTTGCTCATTTCGCTCGTTTTCTGATATCAACAGTGACACTCTTGGGAGAAACGGTGATCCATCCAAACAAATCGAGTTCTTTCTAGAATTTCGATTGTAAATCTATTGAATATTTCAAATAAATAGTATTTATTAGGATAAATAGTTCAAAATATTCAAACCTCAGTCTTCGCTCCACAAACAAAATCGTAATCTCGGAGTACTTTAGCAAAGGCGACTTTCTGTTCAATATAAGCAAGTCTCATGCCTGGAAAAGAGAATTAATAAAAGATCATATACTTTTAAAAGATATTCAGCTTTCAAAAAGATATTCAGCTTTTAAAAGAAGATATTCAGCTTTTAAAAGATATTCTTCTATTTGGTTCCTATTTGATTCCTACTTAGATCTTTTAAAAGATAAGTCTTAACTTTTCACTTACCAACACATTGTCGAGGTCCAGCTCCAAAAGAGAGATTTGCTTCTTTTTGATCAGACGTTAGATTAATCCATCTAAACAAATTGAATCATTATGAGTACTGTAGTTGTTTTTTATAATGGTTTATAATGATTTATAATGGTTTATAATAGTTTATAATGGTTTATAATGGCTTATAATGGCTTATAATGGTTTATAATAGTTTATAATGGTTTATAATGTTTTGGATTAGTTTTTATAAGATAATTGAATTTCTAACCTATCTGGATTGAACTGATCCGCGTCAGCTCCCCAGATCTCTTTGCTTCGTTGAAGCGAGTAGACATCGACCTGAGAAAAGTCATTTTTCTATCTACTTTTGTACTGTTTTATATAAGGTTTTTGAATTTTAAGTGCAAAAATTTATGGAGATAAGATAAACTCACTTGAATTTCATCTCCTTTCTCAAGTTGAACACCGGCAAGTTCCAGATCTCTACCAGCCACTCTGCTAACGACACTAAAACGAGAATTGAAGATATTCGAGAACCTCTAGAATCTCTAAAACGAGAATCTCTAGAATCTCTAGAACGAGAATCTCTGGAATCTCTAAAACGAGGATCTCTAGAACGGAACTCTATATAGCCGAAAACTCGATATAAAGGAATGGAATTTTGGTATATAATGTTATAGATAGCTATAGATAACGGCATTCCGGGCATCGCGATTCCGCTCCAGGAAACGCGTGTTGCAACTTTGCAACGCTCTAGCAAAAATTTAGAAACTTTTCTGATCAAATTTCTCTATATAACGGAAAACTTTTCTTTTAGTCTCTTCCATTATAGAGTCGACTGTAGCTTTATTCAAGAATATAATTCAAAATAGACTTATAGGCACTGTAAGCATTCAAAATTTCACTGTTTATGTTGAAAGAAAAGAACCAATAAGAATTTGATTAGAAACCCTACACAGTTCCAAGAGGATTGAGTCGAAGAGCTTCCTTGATCACACAATCCATAAATTTAAGCTCACTCAGATCATCATAGGAGATTTCCTGAAAAGTTTTCTTTTTTTAGAGTTTAATATAGCCTTATATATTTCTTTTTAAGCATATTAGTGATAAAAAATTAGGCAATTTACCCTATCACCGCAAACTTGATCGATCTCTTCTTGAAGACGGCGCTGGATCTGGAATTTCAACATATTATTTGGTTATCTGGCTTATCTTCTTTACTTTTTCGATATAATTGGATAGTAAAGCTTTTAAATATTTAAAAATAGAGGTTTCCTTTAAAAACTGATAACAAATTCGAATTCTTCATCCTCGAAAACCCTAAGCCCAGAGAAAAAAGAAAGAAAAAAACAAAAATACAGCCGGCGGGATTGAACCCTTGACCTCCAGACTAAGATACAGAGCTCTTAGTCATTCGGCCATGACGGCAATGTGCTGAACGTGTTAAATAACTCACTTCAGGATGCTTTGCCAGATACCAAGTTGAGTAGGAGAGAGAATTTGATGTTGTATCAAAACCAGCCAAAAGAAACAGAAAGCATTGCATGACCACCTCTTCTTCTAACATTTGACGAACGATCTGGAAATGTGCGCCAGATAAGATATGTTTCGAGCACAAAGTACTGTTTCTCTAAGCTTCCCTACATGAGCATTTTTCCCGCTGAGCCCTTCTTCTGCTTTCAAATCAACATCAGCTTCAGCATCCAAAAACAAATCGATGAAGTCAACAAGTTCCTTTTCTTTTGATGACATTTCTCCTTTTGCCTAAATTTAAAAAAAAACAATTTTGGAACCGTATTGGAACCGTATTGGAACCCTAATGAAACAATTTTGGAACCGTATTGGAACCGTATTGGAACCGTATTGGAACCCTAATGAAACAATTTTGGAACCGTATTGGAACTCTAATGGAACCGTATTTGATCAAAATAGGAACAAAATATTTCCAAAATGTAAATTTTAAAAGATAAATAGAAATAAAGACTCACTCTCAGAGCTTTTCTCTCAGCCACCGCTTTCTCGATTTTTATCAACAATTCAGCAGCTGCTAGTTTGAAGCGTCTAGCCAAGAAGATGAAGAAAGCACGGAAGTACTAAGAAAGTTTTGATGATAAATAGAAATCAGAGAATGCTAGGAGCCACGATTGGTCCTAGAGCTGAATACCTCACTGACAATGACTAGATTTACAATTACACTACAATCACACTACAATTACACTAAAATATTCAATTTTCATGGAACTCTGTACTATCATGCATAAAGATATTGCACTTTTACAGTTTACAGCTTACAGTTTACAGCTTACAGTTTACAGTTTACAGTTTACAGTTTATAGTTTACAGCTTACAGCTTACAGTTCACAGTTTACAGCTTACAGTTCACAGTTTACAGCTTACAGTTCACAGTTTACAGTTCACAGTTTACAGTTTACAGTTTACAGTTTACAGTTTACAGTTTACAGTTTACAGTTTACAGTTTACAGTTTACAGCTTACAGCTTACAGTTCACAGTTTACAGCTTACAGTTCACAGTTTACAGCTTACAGTTTACAGTTTACAGTTTACAGTTTACAGTTTACAGTTTACAGTTTACAGTTTACAGTTTACAGTTTACAGTTTACAGTTTACAGTTTACAGTTTACAGTTTACAGTTTACAGTTTACAGCTTACAGCTTACAGTTTACAGTTTTACAGCACTTAGCTCAAGATTCAATGACCAAAAACTAACTTTTCTCAAAAAAGGAATTGCTGTGGCCATAATGAAGAACGGTTCACGAGGATCTCGAGCAAAAGCCTGGAAATGTATTAAAAACTAGGCTTTATTAAAAACTAGGCGTTGAAGGTTATCTTGTGTAAAATGTACGATGAATTTTGTTCACATCAAGATCTTCAAGATCAAGATGTTCATATCAAGACAACCCATCATCACTTTAGGCACTTTCTGAAAACCTGTCCAATTTCTAACAAGATAGGCTTCTTGCAGTGCCAACAGGGATCGAACCCTCAAGCAATCCAACTAGAGACAAAGAATTAACCACTTAGCCACAAGGCGCTCGTTCTTTCTCTTCAATAAACCCACAAATCTTAGCTGTTCCGCGTATTCACTTTTCCATTGCATTGTCTCTTTTTGTCCCATTGCAATTCTTGAGATTACATCGATCGTGTATTCTTGATAATAACTATTATTTAAATAATTTTATTCAGAATTTTTTTATTTCTTACGTGTGAATGTCAATAGCTTCACCAGCATTCTTTCCGATGTGAGAAACTAAATGTTGAGCTGAATCAGTGACTGTTGGGAAGATCTGGAATTTCGGAATCGATTTCTCATCGATTAACAAAAGCTTTACCTTTTTAAGGCTATTATTGGAGAATTGAGGAGAGACAAGAGCTCTCAAACGCTTCCATCGAGCACCCCATGAATCAGCCAGATGTGCCTGTGGATCGTCGGCTTCCGGTTGAAAGAGGGGATTTCCCTGTAAGGTTGTGATTCAAACAAAAGTCAGTGTTGGGAAGAATCGTTTGAATCTAACCTTTCTTTGTTGAAAATCATCGAATCTCGAGTGTAGCATCTCTTTGACGGCTTTGAGTTCAGAGATCACCAAGACATTCGTTGGTCCCTCTTGATAACCCCACACTTTGCCGAATTTCTGAATGGTTTGATGATTTGATTTAAAAAGTATATGGTTGGTTCAGTTTAAAATTAGGGCTGAACTTGAGAGGCTGTCTGGCTTGGAATCGGAGGATCGGAATCGGAGAATCGGAATCGAACAATCGGAATCGAACAACCGGAATCGGACAATCGGAATCGGACAATCGAAATCGGAGAATCGGAATCGGACAATCGGAATCAGACAATCGAAATCGGACAATCGGAATCGGACAATCGGAATCAGACAACCGGAATCAGACAATCGGAATCGGACAACCAGAATCGGACAATCGGAATCGGACAATCGAAATCGAACAATCGAAATCGGACAATCGGAATTGGACAATCGAAATCAGACAGTCGAAATCGGAGAATCGAAATCGGAGAACCAAAATCGGACAACCGGAATTGGACAATCGAAATCGGACAATTGGAATCGGACAATCGGACAAGGAATTCAGAGATAACCCATTTCAAGGTCAAGAAACCGAAGTCTGTCCTTCTCCAACTGCAAAATTTAGCAACTAACAACTAAATTTAGCACCTTCGAGGGTGTTTTGCAGTGCCACCAACTCCAAAAACGCATATATCTCAACGCTGAACGAAGATATCAAAAAACTAACTGCATATTCGAACTCCGACCTACTCTGGCTACAAAACAAGCCAAAATTCGGCTTTTGAACATATGGACTTTTTTGAAAAAACCATTTGGTGCTCCTCATGAAACTACAAACTTTTTATCCCGAAAATTCAGAGATAACCCATTTCAAGATCGAGAAACCGATTGGGATCATCAGAAAAATGAGTTGTTGCTAAAAACAGCAAGTAATATACAAAAAGAACCTACAAAACAACCTACAACCTACAAAACAACCTACAACCTACAAGTACATTTGCTAAATTTATCAAAATAGCTTCTCCATTTAGTGTTTAGCATTTGCTAGATACTAAATTCTAAATCGATTTGCAAAATTTAGCAAAATTGCTAAATGCTAAATAGTTTAGTGAAACCGGACCTTAATCCAGTCCTAATCCAAGCCAGTTTAGCACATTGATGCAGTTTCAAGCCAGTTTAGCACATCTATTACCAAAAAGTACTACCAAGCATGCCCATTCCATTAAACTCACTTTTGTATAATCCATCAATGCCGGATACCAAGGCCTTTTCGGATCTCCAACTCTCCAAATCAATCCCAAAAGTGGAATCGATTTGATGTGTGGGATTCCCTTTTGTTCCCAATAAAATGTCCTTTGATAGGCCCACCAAATATAATAAGCAGCAAAAACGGCAAATAGTGAGCCAAATATGAGAAGAAACATTCTGAAAGTTATCTAAATGAATGGGCAAAGATTTGAATTTGAAAAAGAAGTTAAACTGACTTTTGAACTGAAAGAAAATTGACCTTGGTTGAAAGGAAAAAAAGTTGAAAGGATTAATGCGGATGGGTAGAGATGTGATTTGTGTAAATCAATGTATTTTTCGGCGATCTATTTGTTTTTCTTATTGGTTTTAGTCTAGCAAACGTTTTGAAACCAATTCAATTCATAAAATCGATTCAATTCCATTAAAAAGTTGAATAAAATCCATCAATCTATCAAAAAAGTTCAATTTTAACCGAATTTTAAAAGTTGAAAAGGAAAATAGAAGTGAGTCAGTGAAAAGGAAAGTGAAAGGTGAGAGAACTCAGGAATCTTTGCTCTTCAAGAATTGATAAGGAGATTTTGTTAAACTATAACTATTTTTAGAGCAAGTTAATTGATTTTTCAATTGGATAGTACAGTACTGGACATTTTGGATAGTACAGTACAGAAGTACAGTACTGGACAATGAAATATCATATTTGAAAAACGATCGTCACTTTCGCGCGTCTGTAACTCCCTTGTCTTTACCGTATTTCTAAATATTAATATTACCATTGTGTAGCCCTTGAAAAGAGCTTTCAGAAAATGTATAACACTAATAGTTTAAACTCAAAGACAAGGAAGTTACAGACGGGGGAATGCGACGATCGTTTTTCAAATATGATATTTCATTGTCTAGTACTGTAGGTGAGTAAAGCATAAGGCTCTATTCTATCGGCAATGGGATACGTGTCGGTGTTGGGATCATTGGTAAAGCGTTCCCCCGCTAAGCCTCTCGATTACCGGGCGAACGCGGGTTCGAATCCCGGCGTCGACCACGTTTTGTTTTCCCAGCCTCAACTCATAAAGGATCAGCTCACAAGAAACGGTCACAAGGCTGGTGTCGAATGCGACGATCGTTTTTCAAATATGATATTCTAGTACTGTAGATCTTTACTGATTTTCCTTCAAGATTAGAAGGATGAGATTAAAATTGAAAAACAAAAAGGAATTTTGGTTACTTGAAGTCTTTTCTAAATAGTCAAATGCTCTAAATAGTCAAATTTGAAAACGATAAACGATTTTGGCTACTATTCTAAAAAATGAATATAATAGAGAAATGAATGATTGAAACCTAAAAACTGAATCTAATATACAAATGAATAAGTCAAACTTGGCATTTGGAAGTCTGCAAATAAAGAAACCCTTTTGTAGTGATGAATGATGCAATGAAGAGATGACAAACTTGGATTCAAAGAACATTTCCTTTCAAGTAAACAACCCATTTCTATGATGAAACTTTTGAAATGCTTAAAATCTTAAAATGCTTAAAGCCAAAATCTACTTTTATCATTTATCATCTTTATACAATCAAATGATAACAAAAAAAATCAATTTCATTCGAAAAAAAAAACATTTGCTCTCTCAAGGTTGGAAAGGAGATAAGTAAATAGTGAAGAAGTAAATAGTGAAGAAGGAAAAGAAGAAATTTCTGAAGGAAAAGAGAAAACTTAGAGAAAAAGAGACTCTTTTCGGTAGGATTTGACCAATCTTTGACCAATCTTTGATCAAAAATCGGCTCCAATTTAATTGCGAGTAGAATGTAGTGCAGGAAAACAATGTAAAAAGTAATCTTTTACGAAGTTAATTTTAGATTAGTCAATAAATCTTTAGACAATTTTGTTTATAAATAAAAAGTTCACCGATTGGTCAATATGATTTATTTCAAATAGAAGATTTTTATTGTACACTTTTCGATCTTTTTACGCTAATCTGGGCTCATTTCCAAGAAAATCGGAGCGCAAAAATTCGCTAAAAGATAGTACAGGCCACAGAGTGTGATTGGAAGATCCCTGGGTCAGATCAAGCAAGATTTAGCCTAGTCTAGCCTAGTCTAGCCAGCGATTTATTAGGCTGTCCAGAAAGTCTTTTCGTTCCTTTTCATACTTCCGTTGAAAAATAACAAAATCACCAATTAATCTATGGCTTGCTCTAAATTAAAAGTGTTTATTGTTCAGTTTTCCATCTTTTTAAGTCAATTTCGATTCACTTTCAAACAAATTCGAGAGTGAAAACGTGTGTTTTCGTAAAAATCTATAAAAACCTCTACGAAGAAATTGGCTGAATGAATTTCTCTGAAAATTTGGCTATAAACCTAACTTTTTACGCTCTTTCTTTCTATTGACACCAAAATTGATTTCTTTGAATCAAAATGTCTAAATGGCATAATAGAATCGTTCTTTTTGATCTTTTTGACTACCCGAGTTCACACCTCCAAACAAAACTCCAGAAAAAAAATATTACTTAAGATTTCAACGATATTTTATAGAAAAATATTAGGCCTTTCTAATGAAGCAAACCGTAAGTCAATAGATGAATTGCTTATTTCTAAAGAGCTTTTTAAATGAAGAGTCTAAAGACTCATGAGCCAACTTAATAGTTGGCTTAACTCATTAATAGTTGGCTATTAATAGTTGGTAATAGTTGGCTTAACTTAACATGAGCCAACTTGAAACTTACTGGTTTTCAGGTTTATAAATTATACCCAAAAAATTTGTGCGTACTTTTCGTTGTAGAAAAAAATGACATCTGACTTACGGTTAGTTATAGTGCGACTAGATAACGAACTTCTTTTTGCTTTCTCTTCAAAAAAGATTCTATTTTTGACACTTAAATATATGAATTTGAATCCTTTTGTCGTTCTTCTAAACTTTTTCTAAACTCAAAAGATTTCTTCGAAAAGGATTCTAATCCTTCTACAAATTGGTGCGATTAGAGTCTTTTCTTTTCCTTTTGTGGATTGTAAAACATAAAAAGAGCTCACCAATTTGAGTTATAAAGTTGGACGGAATAGATGCATTTTTGTCGGAATTTTATTCTTCTAAGATGAAATTTCTTTGGATTTTTTTGTTTTCTATTCTTTTTGATGGTTTGCAAGGAACAAAAAGGTTAAATATTATTTATTTTTATGAAATGAGATCCCAGCTTTCGGGTGTTATCTTTCAATACTTGGCAAATGGGAAATCATGTGGAGGATGGGTTGAACAAGCTGGCTAGACATATTTTGGCATTGAATCCGGATATGGTTTCGTTACAGGTAAATTAGATAATTGATTTTTGGCAAGGACTATGGAGTTTGCTAAGAACACTAACGGTTCTGAACTGAAAAGAAGTTGTGCCAAGGTTTCAGAAACAAATTAAGTTAAGTTAAGCCTTTCTAAAGGTACATGAAGGTAGTTAAGCCTTTCTAAAGCCTTAACTACCTTCATCAGGTTCCAGAATTTAATAGGGAAAATATTGGCGTTTGCCAGAAACGTACTCAGAAATCAGAAACTGGAAGTCAAGTTTTCGCAAAAAATGGTCGCAGTCGGGATCGAACCCGCAGGTCTCGGCCTGAGAGACCGACGCTCTGGCACTGCACCACGAGCATATATCTGACGCCCGACTTTCTCCGCCTCTTATACCCTCGGTCTTATACTTATACGTCTTATACCCTTCTGTTCAGTGCAAATCATTTAGGAAGTCCAAAATGAGACCTGTGCCAAGCAGTTGAATGATCTTCTCGGAAATGAATGGACAATGGTTTACGCGAAGAAAGATTATCCCGATGTGGCTCTCGCCACAAAGCATACTGCAAGTTTCAATGCATTATAGAAAAGACTGTTAACTGTAGACTAATTTTCAGGTAATCTCCGAGTCAGTTCTGAACACAACAGCTGGCGTTCATGCAACGATCGAGTTTCCCGATGGATTTCGAGTGAATTTCTGGGCTTTTCATGGATGGTACAAGTAAGTGAATGTTAGAAAAATGAAGAAAAGTTCTAATATTTTAGAGCCTACGGTCCTTATGCTGCTTTCAATCGTTTAGTCACAAATATCTCTCAAATAATCGTTGGAGAGAATGTTCCATCAAGAAGAAAAACTGGTAATATTGGGTTGTCGAGTTATGAATAATCAATAATCAATAATCAATAACCAGATTATATCTAAACCATCAATAATCACTAACAATAATCACTATAATAACAAAAATGACTCAAACAAAAAATAAACTATTATTGGATTGTCCAGTTCCGTTTTTTTACTATTTTGTAAATTTCTCAAGATACCGAAATCAAGAAAAAGATATATATGAGTATTATTCGAAAGCTGAAGATCTCCTCTACATTTTGATATAAAAAGTTTTGGAATTTGTTCAGCTTTTGGGCAAATTGACTGCACAGAAGAAGAGGTGGCCAAAAAGTGGAAGGGTGCCTTTGGAACAAGTTTTGGCTCCGCTCAAATTGAGTTAACCGTTTGATGTTTGGCCAATAGATATATCAATATAACTTTTTTTAAATATAACAATTTCAGAGCATCTTTACTTTTGTTTTCTTTTCTGGGCGGTTATTTTACACCACCATAAAACTTGAGGAATAGCTAAGCTGGAATGGGTTTTTTCAGATTAGGGTATGCAGTATAGAATAGGGTGTTCAGTATAGATTATCTGGATTACGGTATTCAGTCCAGATTAGGGTATTCAGTCTAAATTATCTGGATTACGGTATTCAGTCTAGAATAGGGTATTCAGTCTCGATTAAGGTATTGAGTCTAGAAAACGACCTCTCCCTTTGTGCAGTCAATTTGCCCAAAAGCTGAACAAATTTCAAACTTTTCATATCAAAATGTAGAGGAGATCTTCAGCTTTCGGATGATATATAACACTCATATACACCTGTTCGATGTCTTGAGAAATTCGCAAAATAGTAAAAACGGACAAAACTGGACAACCCATTAGACAATATTAGAGAAATGGTTATTTGAATGAAAATTTTAGGAAGAGCCGGTAATATCAAAGAGATTTTGAATTGTAAAACGATGAAAGGAGATTTGAAAGAATTGAAAGAGATACCGATAGTGATAGCTGGAGATTTCAACTCACCGAGTCATCAGGATTGGATTGAGGAGAACAAGTTGATTTTAGAAGATTCATTCGACTTTTGAAGAATTTTACTTACAAAGGAAGGTCAATTGGGTGCGCTGGCTAAATCTATAGACCATTCTACGCAAAATTTCACGCTGATCATGACGCTGCTTTTCTTTTTTGCTACGGAGCACTCTGTCAAAAGTTATACGCGTTTAAAGTCTTGTAAGGAGTTTGAAAAACCAAAGTGCGACATTACAACCCTGTCTTCCGCGAGGTCATCAGTTGCAGCGGTGGCCAAGTGGTAGTGATTTGAGACGCAAGGTGAGGGTCCAAGCTATATCTGGTCTGGTCCAAGTCCTGGTCCAAATCCGGTAGCTGACTCTTTGCTTTTTAGGTTTTTTGCGTTGCTCATGTGATTTAGCCAGCACATTCAGTTGTCCTTCCCTTGTTAGAAGTTCAATACTTACGATTAGTACTCCGCGTAACACTAGATTTGTCAAAATTAAAGAATAGAACGTTATGACTTAACTACTTCTAGAGATCTTCACGGTGGTTGGGTTGTACCTTGGCCTTCAACGAAACAGCTCACCGATGTCGGATTTGTTGATTCATTCCGAGAGATTTATCCCGATCCCATAAAGAACCCTGGTAAGCTTAACATCCAAAGATAAAAGCAACTGATTTCAGGATTAACCTGGTCAACAATGTGCAAACAGAATATTGAATGGGAGTATTCATTTCCCGAACCACAAGACCGCGTCGATTTCATCTTTTATAAGGGATTTGTGCGACCAATGAGGTAAATGAATCAAAGTTTACTGTAAGTAAAGTTTCAGATCTGAGCTCTACTCGGGAGCCGAACCAATTAAAATAATGCCCAATCAGAAAACAAATGATTATCCATCCGATCATTATGCGTTGTTCACCGATTTTGAGGTTTTACAATAAAGTGTTTGAAAACTGGAAGTGAATTTCGTTGTGGAAAGGATTAATTGAAATAGATATTAAATAGATGTATAAAGTTGCGGTTGAAATGTTCAGTTGGAGAAATGGGTTGCTAAGTTTGGGTAAATTTTTGAAAATGATTGGCTAACTTAAGCGGAGGCTGTGGTTTCGGGGACTGGGGCATCGGTGTTAGCTGTGAAAACAGGAGTCTGAATAGGAAAATTCGGATAAATACAAACTGTCGTAGCAAATTGATACTATCAAATGGCTTTGACTTTAACAGCTTCAGTAAAAAGTTACAATGGCGTAACATTTCCTGTAACTTTGAAAGAGTACTGTAAGACTCAAGACAAATCGTCAATAGCTCTTCACTAGAACTGCTTGACGAATGTTTACGATGTGGTCTTGCGTAGTCCAAGTCCTCCATGTCCTGGACCTCCACGTGGACCTCCATGTGGTCCATGTCCACCTGGGCCAAGAAGTCCTTGGTCACTTGGTGGTCTTGCGTGAGTCCCTGATAAGAAAATTTTAGGGATGCTAATTAAATTTGTCGTATTGAAAGCATAGATTGTGTATCATGACTGGAAAATAGGCCTAAACGTTTGTTTAATTCTTTACCCCATGATTGGGAAAGGGAAAGCTCGCGATGGCCACCACCAATAGAGCAAATTCAAAAAGGAGTCTCATTTTTCGTTAAATTCTATAATTTTTAATCGCTTTATATAACAACTTTCACATAATTTTTATGAATTGAGCGATAAATTTGGAATTCTTAAAGCTTCGAGCTTCGAGAATTAGTTTCCGATACAGGCAAGCTCGATATTGATGGTGAAGTTCTGAAAATGGAATTGAATAAGCTGCTGTTGGTGTGTGAAAATAGAATAGACAAACAAGAAATTTATGGGCTTTTGATATTGGAAGCAAAAATGCAAGTTCAATGTTGTTTGGGTGCATCGCTACCGTAATATTTAAAAATCGGTTCCTATTTTGCGGGTTTTTTGCCTATAAAACTTACCATTACTTTCTCAAACTTGCTTGAAAAATTTCATTTTTACCTCCTCCTAGCTCGTTTCCTAGCAAGTTATGCATTGTCAGTTAAATAACATTTTCCGGTTAGATTAATCGGTGCAAAGGTAGTTGGGGGGAGGGCAATCGGTAAACTCGTCTTGACATGCTAAAATTTTGTGCTGGAGGTTTTTGATAATGCTGAATCGATTGGTGATATTTTCAAACTATGATTTCTTGTTATTTTGATGTTATTACACACGGGCCTGGCTCTGATATTTTCTTTTTTTGATGCTTTTTCCTCAGTTTTGTAACTTTTCTTAAGTTTTTCTTTAGTGTATGGCGCAAGCAGGTTTAGCAGCAGCAGCTAGGCTTGAATTGAAGGCGTTTAACCTCTTAAGAGAATGGCCTAAACACGCGATCAAAGTGACAGGAATTTCGATGATTGGCTGGCCAATATGGGACTGCTTTGGAAAGATCGAGGTTGCCCAAATTGTGGATGTCCGATGCGGTTAGCTAAGCAGGGAGCGGGTATAAGATTGAAGTTTGAGTACAACTTGAGAGCATGTAGGAAGAAAGCTGGCTTTTTGAGGGTTAGTTGTTTGCAGGGTTGTTAGGTAACTGATTGCATAAAGGGAACGTTCTTTGAGAATTGTCATGCAAGTCATAATTCAGTGTTCCTCCTCTCCTACTTGTGGCTCCACGTAATGTTTTGTTGCCATCATTTTATTGTTGCTATTAAAGTGATTGTTGCATTCTTGTAAAATCAAAATAACAAGAAATCATAGTTTGAAAATATCAACATGTCAAAACCAGTTTACAGATTGCCCGCCCCAACTATCTTTGCACCGATTCACCCTGTTCTGCTGCCCTAAAAAAGCTACTCAACCGTTCTCTGTACACTTTTTATCAACGCTATCCCCGTCTCTCTTTTAGTTATTTTTTTTTTGAACGATGAACAAGGTTATGAAAAATTGAGTAACCTTTCGTGTTTCCTTAGAAACCTTTGAAATTTTCAAGATAAAAGAAAGCTTTGCCCAGACTAATCATCTCAAATTACCTATTTCATTTACTGTTCTATCCGTTCCTGGTTTGTTTTTATGTTTTCAATTTCTAATTTGAGATGTTCAGCGGCAATTTCTTCAAGAGGATCACGCAAGCTTTAATCGGAAGAATGACACTGCCTGAGACAACAAAGGCATCGACATCGGCCATGCAGGGACGATTGGTTTGGGTAAGGAGTTTAGTGCTATTAAAAGTTGCGGTAAATTAGAACAAGGAAAAGATTTTGGATCTATAAAATTTGTATAACTTGAAAGGGTCATTTGAAACTCTGTTCAGCTTTACAATTAGACTTTTTGATGTTTTCATTTTTAGATAGATTGTGAAATGACAGGTCTTGAGCCGGAAGTTCAAACACTCGTCGAAGTCGCAGTCATTGTCACCGATCAGGATTTGAATGTGAGTTGTTTATTGAGCTGTTTTACTTATCGTTGATGATTTTCAAGAGAGAATAGGGTTGCAGAACAAGATGATCATAAAAGCCTAAACTGAAATATGTATTTTAATTTATTCTGTGAAACTTTAATCAAAACTTATCTTTTAGATAGTGGCCGAAGGTCCGGATATTGTCATTCATCAAACGGAAGAAGTCCTCGACAATATGAATCCGTGGTGTAAGAAGACATTTGCGGTTAGTTTTATTTATTATCTTATTTTTTTATACATACACTTTTTAGAAAAATGGTTTACTACAAAAGATTCGAGACAGCAAAATTTCAATGGAAGAAGCCGAAGCACAGGTTTGCTTTTGGGATTTATTACGGGTTAGAGTTGGTACTGAGAAGGATTTAAAATCATTTTTTGCACCTTAATATATCATTTCTTTACAGGTACTGTCTTTTCTTGAACCCTTAGTGGAAAAGGGAGTTTCTCCGATTGCAGGAAACACGGTTGGCATTTTAATTTTTTAGGTTTATGATAAACGTAGTTGCCATATATTTTGGATATTTAATGGCTTTAATGGATATTTAATGGATTCTTTATTTAGGTATGGATGGATCGAGTCTTCATCAAAAAATACATGCCCCGATTGGACGCACATCTCCATTACCGAGCGCTCGATGTTTCAACGCTTAAAGAGGTGGGCAAATAGTGGGTGGATTATTTAGGTTATGGTTTAGAAGCAAGCAAAATAAAGAATTGAGCTGGGACGTAAAATTATAGAGTTAAAGTATGGTCAGTTGAATTGAGGTACCGATATAACCGGATAAGAATAAACTTTAATTTCCAGACAGGTGATGTAAACGGAAAAGATCAAAGCTATCATCTGTCAAGATAAAATACTCCACCTTTAATATTCTTCTTTAGATTTCACTGCGTTGGTACCCAGAAGAATTGAAGTTAGCGCCGAAGAAAAAGGGATTGCATAGGTGGGTTTTACTTGGAAACTTAAAATATTGATTTATGTTTTCTAAATATTTTTTTATTTAGAGCCCTCGATGACATCAAAGAATCGATAACCGAGCTCAAATTCTACAAAGAAAACATCTTTAAACAAAAGTAAACTTAATAATTTTATGATTGACTAATCAATAATCTTAACGTATTGTTGAGAAATTAGTATTCGCGGAAAGCTTTTCTCGGATCCCTTTGAATTCAGATACATATTGCTCAAAGTTTTTTTTGCCTTGTGAGATTGTTTTCCATTTTTCTCTAAATTTTTGAATACAAAATTTATTCTTTGTTTGAAAAGCGCAAAAGCTAAACGAAAATCACAAAATTGAGAGACAAAGGTCGGGGGTTGAGAGGATTATTCTCTCAAAAATTTTCAAATTTTCAAATTTTCGTCAATTTCACACGATATTAGAATTGTGAACCCTGTAGTATGGATTGCGAGACTGAATGGGTTAAAATATTTGCTTCAATCGTCAGTGAACGCAATGGTTTTGGTGTTTTTAAACTGAATCCGGTTTGTTGTTGGTAAAATGCGACAAAAGCAACCATTCATGCAGTCTTTTCAATCTTTCGTGATACATTCAGCAATCAATAACTCCACTGTCACCACTACATTGACAGTTACTCTAACTGTATGGCTGACAAAAAAATGGCAGGCTTTTTGGAAATAAAACGTACAAATGGTCGGATCAATAAGATCTGTTTTGATCAACTTTCATTTTACTTTTGTCTCTTATTGGTTCAATTTCTCTCTCACTTTTTTCACAAGATTAACTTCCTTATCCCTTTACAGAAAAATTATTTTACGATCTTTACGATTATTAACGACAAGTACAGCATTGATAGTACAGTACAGTATTTAGTACAGTACAGTATTCTGTTGGAAGGTAAGTTCTGCCCGTTTTTTTGCGAGAGGTTTCTAAACTCAACCAATCTACACGTGTTATGGCTCATTCGAAAGCTGAATTCAAGGCGGAAAAAAGGGAAAAGCCGTTTTTGAATTCATAAAGTTTTGAAGTTTTTACAGGCGTTTTAGTGAGCTCAGTCAGAGAAAAAAAGTGCCAAAATTGTGTTTCCATTGTTTTTTGTTTGGCAACATAAGCTAAAAACACGTTATTCGTACTCAGTGCATTAAATTACCCTTAAAAACTCATTTTTGAGATTTTTGGCAAAAAAAAGTCAAAATTTTTGTCCCGAGCCGGGATCGAACCCTTGACCTTTTGGGTAGTAGTCATCGCGCCGTTTTTTGCCTGTTTTCTTTGCTTTTTTTTCCTTTGTCTGCACCTTTTATCTAAAAAAATAACAATAAACAAAGCGAGAAACACATACCATAAATACTGTAATAGTACCCCACCCCATAATGACGGTGCGGAGCGTTACGTAGTCTAGCTTTGGACGCGTTTTTCTCAACGCTGGTTTATGCTACAATGCGCGCTTAGGTATCAAAAAAATAGCTGAAATTCAGGGCTATTTTTTGATACCAAAGACGGATGTTTTGAAAGTACGGGTGCTTTGCAAAAAATGAAATACTAAAAAACTTTTGCGACTACCCGACTGTACGAGGGGGGTGGGGTACTATTACAGTATTTACGGTAGTTCACTAATATAACTGAGGATGAGTAAGGAAGCAGAGTTTTTTAATGTTATACTGTTTTCTTGTTACTGAAACTGTTTCCTTTTCTCATAAAGAATAAAAAGAACATTAAATCTATTCCCAATCATTGCCCTCTTTGATAAACAGAAATTTTTCACGAAAATATGTCATCGAAAAGGTTTTTCTAGGGAAATTAGGTCAATATTTATAGAATGGATTCAATTGTAACGAGAAAATTGGCAGTGAGCTCATTGTTTTGTGTGATAATTTGACGAGTTTCTTTTTTTCGTTTTTCCTTTTTGTTGTGAATCGATTTATAATCTATCGATGGTTCCCTTTTGAAGGGTTTTTCTGTTTTCGATCGACAGCTTTTGATCGACAAACGAACGGTTTATAGCTTTGTTTTAACAGTTTGTAAACTTTTGTTAGCTAGCGCACCGGGCTACCTTAATCCTTATTGGAACCGTATTGGAACCGTATTAGATCAAAATAGGAACCGTATTGGAACCGCACCAGGCTACCGTAAATAAAGGCTACAACTCTCTTTTGTAAACTATCGCTATCTGGAGCAGCGAGTTAATGTATCTTATCATCTTATCGAAACATTTTATCAGTTAAGAAGTGGGATCATTGTTTTCTGCTTAAAATGACGTCATTTCCTTTCCAGATCACTTTCATTGTCCAGTTTTATTTGTCGACAAATCCTCTCTTTGATCGATCAAGTGTTTGCTCTTTCCAATCATCTTTTTGATATCTAGATTTGTTTTCATTCACTTGTCTATCGAGCTAATCCAAACTAGAGATCATTGTTCTATTTAGCTGTTACATTGAACTCCTATTTACCTTGTTACATTGAACATTGTTAGCTGGCGCACCGGGCTGCCGTGTTTACCGTACATTGAACTCCTATTTACACTGTTACATTGAGCTCCTTCTTGTACTTCTTGTACAGTATTCCATTGACTCGTACATTGAACTCCTATTTACACTGTTACATTCCATTGACACTTCTTGTAAAGTATTCCAGAAAATCGCCTCACATGGGTCTCCTCACACACCGTTTCCGCTATATCGTCGTTTTCGGGTGTTTTCTCTGTTTAACAGCAATCAATTCAAACTATATTACAATGAATTTCACGTTTATTTGCATGAAAGATGATATGACTGGAGCGATCAAGAATGATAATGGAGTAAGTTTCGAGTACTAGGTACAATTCATACCGTAAATACTGTAAGAGTACCCCATCCCCATAATGACGGTGTGGAGCTTTGCGTAGTCTAGCTTTGAGCGAGTTTTTCTCGACGCTGGTTTATGCTACAATGCTACAATAGGTATCAAAAAATAGCCCTGAATTTCAGCTATTTTTTGATACTTAAGCGCGCATTGTAGCATAAACCAGCGTCGAGAAAAACGCGCCCAAAGCTAAGCTACGCAACGCTCCGCACCATTATGGGGGGTGGGGTACTATTACAGTATTTACGGTAACATTTTTCAGACTTTCGTCAGTCGTTACGATTACACACCAATGGAGAAGAGTTACATTGTGTGGGCGGTGGCTGCGGGGACAATTCTCGGCACATTTCCCATCAATTGGGGTTACATTCATTATGGGGCAAGGTAAGAAAACTTTCAGATTTCAGATTTCACATTCAGATCTTTATCACAGATTCCCATTCTTGATCGCCGGCACTTTGTCAGCTCTTTCAACAGCTCTTGTTCCATTTGCCGCTTCTTTCTCGTATCCTTTCTTGCTTGGGCTGAGATTTGTTCAGGTGAGGATTCATGGGGAAAAGAATGTTGCAAGAAAATAAGATTACACAGTAGTATTATTGAGAGTAAAGTGGAATAGACAAACGATTATCTAGTTACCAATGGCTGAACAAGCAAAAAGACAACAATAACAAGCAATGGCTCAAGTTAAGGGATAATTTTTAGGGTTGGTGTTTGCCAAAAATCAGCCTATGATCCTTAATAAATGAGTTTGAGACTTTTGCAAAAATAGATTCGCGCAAGCGGGATCGAACCCCGAACCGGCTGGGTGATAGGCCGAGACCTTGGCACTGCGCCACGAGGGGAAGTTGCTGGCTGCCCTTTCCTGCACGCTTTGTCCCCTCCCCCAAGGTTTTCTGTGCTACCCTTTATTGGGGATTCTAGAAGAGCTATCCACTGAAATCCACTTCTCAAAGCTATCCACTGAAATCTATTAACGAATCAAAAGTTCAATCCAGGGTCTCGCCTACTCTGCTGATTTCGCGGCCATCGGTTTGGTGACAGTTAGATGGGCTCCACTAGCCGAGACTGGGGTTTTCATTGCAGCGATGACATCATTCACTCCTGTTTCCACAACAATTACGAATCCCGTTTCCGGTTGGGTGAGTATCCTGTAGTTTTACACTCGATTGTAGCTATGAATCGTTTTTCAGATCTGTGACTCGTCTCTCGGATGGAAATGGGCTTTCTACGCGCACGCGATTGCCACAGTCATTTTCTTTTTGGGTAAGTTACAGGAATTGTTCACAGATTGTTGATATTCTAGTGATGATAATCGATCTTCTGACTATAGAATAGACTATAGACGATTCTGACTGTGGAATAGAATAATCAGGTTGGCTTTCAGGTTGGCTATGGTATTACACAGACAATCCATCCACCCATCCCCGTGTTGATTCAAAAGAGCTAAAGAAGATTCAAGAAGGAAAAACCGAAGCTCATATCAAAGGAGATAGCTTTGTGCCATATTTGGTTAGTTTTCTCGAGATTTTCTTTTTTTATTTTCATCTTCATAACTAGTCTAAAAGAGTCTAAAGAGTGACATTTGAGGAAATCTGTAAAAACAAGACGATCTTGGTTGTGTGGTTCAATTCGTTTGGGGAAATGACCACAGTGACCCTTCTACTCACCTACATGCCTCTTTATCTGAACACGGTAAAATTGAAAAGCGAAATTCGATAGAGAAATTCGATTTTGTATATTAGAAAGACGAATCTCTTTCAAATCTCTTAACAAATACAATAACAAATACTTTAAATGGAAAATTTTCTCTTTTACTAGTGGAAATTCCTTTTCATTTCATCAAACGAGTTGAACCAGACGAAATTCTCAAAGATTTTTCCTTTAAAAATCATTCAATTTCAAGGAAATCATCAAAAATCCGGTGATAATTGTGGTTTGGTTAAACTCGTTGGCTGAAATGTTCTCTGGTATTTCCATTCTCACCTATATGCCCATCTATTTTCACACGGTAGATTGATGAGAAATTGATTGAGAAACGAAGCATGCATGAATCTCTCTCTTTGATGAGAAAAGAGAGAGATTCATGCATAATTCAGTTTTTTTTTGCTTTGCTTTTTTTAACTAACAAGCAACTACAACTAATCATGTACTTAAATCATTTCAGGTTCTCGGTTTCGATGTAGTTACAACGGGGATTCTCGCGGCTGTCTCCTCATTTATGCACGCTCCATTAAAATATGCGTCTGGATATTTTAGTGACAGGATACAGTAAGTTTTGCCAAAAAACTTGCCTAATAGCTCATTTTGTAGCCAATTTGATGTAGTTTCTTAAAGTAAAGCCATCTAAAACAATTTTTCGTTGAAAGTAGGAGAAAGAGGGCAAGGAACAAATTCAGGGCAATTCTCAAATGTGAAAACAGCGACCGAGTTCAACTGAAGTCGTTCCTCGCCCTCTTTCTCCTAGCTTTGAAAAACAAATGTGCAATGTAGCTTTACTTTAAGAATCTACATCAAATTGGCTACAAAATGTGCTATTAGGCAAGTTTTTTGGCTGAGTAGAAAATTTTTTATAGCCATTTTAGAAAAAAATTTGAACCTAAACTTTGGGGGCTCAAAAAAAATTTTCTACTGAACCAAATGAGCTAATTTGAAAAATTTATTATAAAATATATGTATTATGAACATTTTTTATGTGGGTGACTTTTTTGATTGGATGCCCGGAAATACCCTCATTCGTTAGCGGCTGAATTTCGTAAACGGTTACGACATATATATTCAAAATAAATACAACGTTAATTATGCAAACTATTCCAGCTCAATCAACGAGATCAAAAAGATGCAAGTGTGCAACTTTATCGCTGTCGGTTTCGCCGGTATTTTTTGTATCTTGATCGGAATCGTGAAAAGGGCAGCTGGTGGAGTGCTGGCTGTGGTAAGGGATTTGGAGCACCGAAATAAACGCTTCAATACTAAAGCTTAAGGAAACGTTTAGGTTTTCTTCACCGGCGTTTATCTTTCGATGTCGGCCAACTGTGGGGGTTTCTATAAATGTGGAACGCTTGTTTCTAGGTAAATTTTGGGTTTTGTTTGAGTAAGAGGATTGCAAATGGATTTCAAGCATTCAATTATTAGGTTGGTGAATTGAGAACTGCGGGACTTTGAACTAAAATTTATTCAACATAAACAATTCAACAAAACCATAAATTCATTCCAAATAATTTCCATTATTATTGACGACTTCTGCCCATTTTACAGGCAATTTGCGGATTCCTCTTTCGTGGTAGGATTTTGGTTTTGAATCGAAAAACTTTCAAAGCCAATTTTTGACTGCTTCTTCCGAATCAAAGTGTTCTCCCGCAAGCTCATGATCCGGAATAAATAGTAATCAAAAGGGGCGAGGTCCGAACTGTATGGAGAATACGCCAAAAGCTCCCAAACAAGGCTATTTATTTTAAAGCGAGTCAGTTTTGCAACATGAGGGCGCGCGTTGTCGTGGATGAGAACTTTGACTTGGAGGCCTATTCTTCTTCAGGGATCCATTCACCTTTCCCAACTGTTCACTGTATTTGATTGCATTATCGGTCGTCTTGCTATCCAGCAACTCCCAGTACAACTCCCAGTCCCAACTTTTTATTGGGTTGGTGAATTGAAAACTACGGGACTTTGAACTAAAATTTATTCAACATAAAACCATAAATTCATTCCAAATAATTCCCATTATTATTGACGACTTCTGCTCATTTTACAGGCAATTTGCGGATTCCTCTTTCGTAGTAGGATTTTGGTTTGTGTGTGAGACAAGTGTGAGACTCAAAAATGGAGGACTGGAGATGTCCCAGTTTGAGCACTTTCTTCAAAAGAAACCCATTTTGGTGTCAATAGAAAAGTTGTAGAGAATCAAAAATTAGGCTTATAGCCAAATTTCCAAAAAGATACACTTAGTAGTTTCGCTTAAAATGCAAGTTTTGTTTTGGGTTTTGTGAAAATTCGTAAATTTGGCATTTCTTGAAAACCAGTTTTTGAATCGTTCTGAAAATTTGGATATAAGCTTGATTTTTGATTCTCTACAACTTTTCCATTGACACCAAAATGGATTTCTTTTGAAGAAAGTGCTCAAACTGTCACATATGACAATGGCCCGCAGTTTTCAATTCACCAACCCAATACTTTCACCTTTCAGACAATATGCTCACTTTGTGTTGGCGACTATTCAATTCATGAAATGTGTGGCTCTTGTGGCAGCTCCAGCAAGTTGGGCAATCTTTGTGAGAGATGAGACTGGTGAGAATTTATTTTTACTGATTATCATTTAGTAAAATCGAATTTCAGATGTCGTTCAATGGTCGTATGTGTTCTATTTGAATGGAGCCGTACTTATTGTGGTTTGTTTTCACAATTAAAAGACATTACAAGTCAGCTGTCAGTTGTGACTTGGGTCAAGCTTTCACATGTTAACTTTCACCATCTAGAAAACAGAATTTCTAAATACTCCACGAGGAATTCAGTGCACCAGATACTTTACTGTACTGGGCACAACTATAACAAAAAATATTTAGGCAAACATTCTTTTCCTCTTCGTTTGCACCGATCAACCAGCCGCATTCACTCATATCACACGAGAGACAAGAGATCAAATGAAAAAAGATACAGTAACTCAAAAAAATGATCAGGAAACGATGCCTCTAGAAGAAAATAATGATCTTCATAAAGTAAATGAGAAAAAGATGAGTGTTTAGTGATGAATTGTTTTGTGTGCATTTACGGGTTTCAAAGGGTTTTCCCTTCTTTTTGATTCACTTTCAACATGTATATGTCGTAGCCGATTATGAATGAGCGGGTCCGGACGCGTCCAACCATCAAGTATTTGGTATCATTTAACGCAGAATCATTAATAATTATGTTAGATTTTTAAAATTAGAAAGATTAGATAAAAAGAAAAAAAATTATGGGACCTCAAAGTTTCCTCTTAAACAAACAGTTTTTTGCTCTAATTTTTTTTCTTTTTATCAAATCTTTCTAATTTTAAAAATTTAACATAATTATTAATGATTCTGCGTTGAATGATACCAAATACTTGATGGTTGGACGTGTCCGGACCCGCTCATTCATAATCGGCTACGACATATCGATTGTCTTTAAATAGTTTAAAAACTCTAATAAAGTTTTAATTCTCAAATTTCCCATGTCAAAGCTGTGTTTCAAACATTGATCCGAGTTTTCTTCATGTAAAAAGAAAAAATTTTGAACGTGGCGATTACAAGAGATTAAAAATTGATATCGAGAAATTTTCTGAAGGAAAATCTGAAATCTTTTGTTTCTTTTGTTTTTGAAATCCTCACGTAAACTAGTTTCTTTTAGCAAATTAAAATATAGTTACAAAAAGCTGTAACTGATTCACTTTAAAATAAATCTAGTATTAGATCCATTCAGGCCTCTAAATCTAGTTTAATGCAAATCTAAGCATCTCGATCTAAGCTATAGGCAAGGCTTGACCTTACAGAATATTCAGGATCAAGTCAAAAGCCATTACCATGAGTATGGCCTTGTATGGAAGTTTGATACTTGAATTGATTCTGATTGATTCTAAATCAGCTCTGATAGTTCTAATAAATCAGGTATCAAATAGCAATTTAGAATTACCTATACCAGATTAATAACTGTAAAATTTGTTTATGTGCAAAAAGTAAAACATTAGGAACCAAGTGAAAATTAAAATTTGCAACCAAAACTAAGAAATAATGCATGAAGTTCAACTGAAACTCTACTTATTAACATGAAGAGAAGACACTTCATCGTTTATTTGTTCGGCACTAACATTTGTTCATTTGTAAGCTTCGTCATTGCTTGAACAAAGAGATCCCAAGCATTTTCTGTGCTAAACAGATACATTTAATGTCGATCTTACAAACAAATATTGGTTCCTAGAGCTAGAAGACTAATTGCACAACTAGGTGATACGTTATCATTATTTGTTTGCCTACTTGCTAAATTCAGAATAAGAAAATTTTACCTGAAGTCTTCATCGCTGGTGACTGAAGACGCTGTCGCTTCATGGTGATTGAAGCCTTCATCTTTGGTCGTCAAATCATTCTGGAGTTGCCAAATAGTGCGGGTATATCCTTTTGTTTTTCCCTAAATAAGAAAGCCCTATACACAGATACTCAAATATCAAAGTATTAAATTTGAAAAGCTTACTGAAATCACTGCAGCAAAAATCTTGAAGAGCTTCAAGCGGAGACAGCGGACCTCCATCCAATTAGAAACCTAAACCAAATTGTTTTTGTTGCAAAATAAACTTGAAAACAACATTGTAGAGAGCATAAAGCTAATCTCCAGGCAAATCTTGCAAAAAGTTCTTTCACTTTGATTTTGATTTCCTCGCTGATTTCCAAGCTAAACAAAAACTACTTAACATTATTAGGTAATAACTAACCTAGAATTCGACTTATCTTCCGTCAGAATTGGAATTTCTTTGCGATCTTCACACCTGATAACCTAAAATACAACCTGTCCAAAGATTAGGTCTTTAAGAAAGTTAACGAGTCTTGATCTAAAATAAAAGATTAGAAGTTCACTGAAAACGAAAATTATATACTGCACGTGTAATTTAATCAAGGTTGCATTTTTATTTCTTATCTAGATTGTGTTTGTGAAAACCTTTTTAAGGTGTGCTTTTCTAATAAAGCTATTATAAAGTTATACCTTGTAGATAATAGAGGCACTCATTTTGTTGCAGACGAATCTAAAAAGAAAAAGTGTTTGGTTTCGAAAGTTTAGCAAAACAGTAGGATATAAATAGCTGGAATACGTTAATTTAACAACCTAATCAACAAAGTAACAAAGTAAACGTTAAACCTTTTGGAGATGTTGCAAAGTTCAGGGTTCGGATTTGGATTCGGGCTGTTTCCATTAGCTTTTCATCAAATTTTAGTAATTCATGGGACCTTTTCTAGAAGTCTGCAGATTGTTTCAAAGGTTTAACAAAGTTGCAGGATTCAAAAGGTTGTCATGTTGTAAAGTTCGGATTTAAGAGAGTTCGGGTTTAAGAGAATTCGGGTTTAAGAGAGTTCGGGTTTTTTCGCGGAGAAAATTCGGGTTTTAGAAAGTTCAGGTTCACTCAAAAAGTTAGAAAGTTCAGTGGTGATGTTTGTAAAGTTCGAGTTCTGTTTCCACTCATTTTTCATCATTCATGGAATTTTTCTAGAAGTCCACTCCAACTTTTTAATTTTTCTTGCTGAAACTTAAATGCGCGTGTTAAATGTATGTGTGAGACACCATCCAATGCAGTAAGACACGAATTAATAGCTGCCGCGTATTATTTTGCTATTCACAGTGATTTTGATCGATTTTTTATAACGATTCATTTAACCCTCATCAAATTCGCTCTCCATCTTGCTTTTCAATTCAGCTATTGACGCCTCCCAGTTTTCCGAAAAAAACGAAATCATTTTTGAAAAGAACATGTGGTAATTAATTATTGAAATAGGTGTCAAGCTGATAGTAAAACAATCTTAATTTAATAAAATCGTTCGAAAAAGTCATAATAACAATTTCGCAGCAGTCCTACAACCAAGCCTTACGGCGTTAGATGTAGAGAAACACGCGCATTTCGAAAAGGAACGTATTTTGAGGACTGTTGTAGGACTGCTACGAAATTGTTATTACGAATTTTCTCGGCGAAAAAACCTGAACGGGAGTGGGACAAATGCAACCTTTTTTTTGCGCACCCGGCCATTTGCGCACCTTTTTTTCCGCACCCGGGACATTTCCGCACCTTTTTTAGCGCACTTAGGACATTTCCGCACTATTTTTTTGCGCACCCGGGATATTTGCGCACCTTTTTGTCCATTATAACAAGGACTGCCCTACAACCACAGGATCACTTGGCTTCACTTTTTGTTTTTTTTCCTGCTATTGGTCTGTAGCTTTAAAAAATTTGGGCGGGAGTACGGTAGCGCATCCACGCTTTGGAAAGTGCACCACGCCGCTTTCGCGCCAATCCCTTAAAACTACACGTTAATATGAATCTAACAAAACGACTATCTGGGTCTAGGGCAGTCCTTGTTATAATGGGCGAAAAGGTGCGCAAATGTCCCGGGTGCGCAAAAAAAAAGTGCGCAAATGTCCCGGGTGCCCAAAAAAAAGGTCGCATTTGTCCCACTCCCACCTGAACACTAAACGCCCGAACTTGACAACATGGCAACCTTTTGAATCCTGCAACTTTGCTAAACCTTTGAAACAAGATGCAGTTGCGCAGACGAGAAAATGAAAATTTACCCACAAAAACTGGTACTAATAAACAAACCTTGAGCCACTTTGACCAGACTTGGTCAGCCCCTGATTCTAGGCGTGTTTTTTCTAGTCCTATTTTGCATTTTCTAGGGTAATCAAATACGCTTAATCGATTGACGATATTTTTAGAATATTTTGAACAACTTGTCACTTTGTATTTTGCTTCTCTCTTCATTTTTAAGCTAAGCAACACTGCAGAGGCAAAACTCCAGCTAGCTTATTAAAATATCAATAAAAATTGTGTCAGAACTTTCTAAAAAGATTATCAATAGATTCATCCTGCTTGATCACCCCAGAAAAAGTAAAATAACGTTGGTAAAACAGTTAAAAGATACAATCTGACCAAATTGAATCAAAGTGGCTTTGATTTCTGCTTTTGCATGTTTGCAAATTACCGTTTAAAGTTCTGATACTTAAACAACTTTTCCTGTTCATTTTTCATTTCTACTAACTTCTCACTCACTGATGCAACGTTTGATTCGCTCCGTTCTCGACCGCTTTTCGCAAAACGGTTCTTCTACTAACCTCAAAAGTTCTTTTTTATCAATCAAACCCCTTTAACCCCTGCTAGTTTTCCTATTAAACGGTCATTTTTCCGTTTTATTCTTTTTTTTAGATTCGTTGACTGCTAGTTCATCTGCTACCTCAAATGCCGCCCAAGAGATCTACCCAACTTTGCCAAATGCTTCCCCTTCTAAGACGATAATTACGCTGGTGTGTTTAGTTTCTTTGTGTTTAATTGAAATTCTTTCGAGTGATTTTTATTTAATTTCTTGTTTAGCCTTCGCAAACGCGATTGGCGAGTGGTGCAGATGTACATCGATACAGTCGAGAAAGTTATGGTCGGTTTTTTTTTGTTTAAAACATTCATTCTTTTACTAAAAGCCGACCTGAAAATCGTTTTTATTTAGGTTTCGAAGCAAGAAACGAGTCGACGGACGTTCCATTTTATGAGGAATTCCCTCCGAACGCAATCGTCGTCTACACGGATGCAAGTTGCATCCGGGGAATAGCGACTGGAATTGCGAACTTTTTTGGAAACGATCACCCACTTAATCTGTAAGCTATTTAATATTATCGTTTGAATGCTTTATATCAATTTTATTTTTAGCTCCATGCGGCTAAATTTGAACGAGCATAATAGTGGGAAAGGAGAGATTTATGCGACGACAATGGCTCTTCACCGTGTCGCACATTGGGAAGACTACAAGTAAGCTTTTATATTGAAACTAAATATTACACATACTTCGAGTCTAGATCTTAATTTTTTCTGTTTAGTGGCGAATTGGTGATTGTTCGCACCGATTATTTGAACACACTCGTCGCAATGCGAAAAGGAAACAATAGCGCTTTTGCTATGGAGTTGGTTTTTAACTTTACGCAATCACACATTTTTGCTTAGTTACGACAATTTACGATGTGTGGCCGCATGGTTTCCACTTGGAGTCGAATTTCAGTGGGTTAAGGCACATAACGGTGATCCGGGAAACGAAATGGTAACAATTTATGTTTAGACTAAACCAGTTATTATTTAGGCTGACACAATGGCAAAAAATGCAATTGGAAAAGATAGAATTGGTCGATCAAGCTCGGTGGAACTGTCAAGATCAAGTAGAAATCGATCTCGTACTCAGTCCCGGTTCGTTTTTAAATTTAAAAACTAATTTCAAGAGATAAATTTTTGTTCTAGGCGTCGCGTCCGCTCCAACTCTCCTTTTCTCAAGCAAAACAGTAAACGAAGATCGCAAAGCCGAGAAGATGGGATTCTAAAACAAGGAAGACTTTCAAGAATTGACACCATTGGATCCGTTGACGCTGGGTTCGTAATTTTTGTTTGAAATCGATTGAATGATAGCTTGAACTCTCAATTTTTAGATACGGTTCGCGTGGTTCTTCAGTGAGCTCAACTCGAAGTGATTCGTCACAAGGATATTATGATGATTGGTCAAATGGAGAGCGAAAAGTTTTGATCAGAGGTATGTGTTTGTAATTTTTTTAAAAATATGTAATTGTTTAGGAGGCAAATCATGGAGGAAAGGTGACCGACCTCAAATCATCTACCCACACCAAACACCAATTATTCCGTATCTGCAACGATTCAAAGATTTAACGATTCTGCAATGATTTTTGTAGTGTTAATTGTTTTATCTCTGTAAGGATATCTTTGTACATATCTTGATTGTGATTTTTGCTTGCTGATTGTTACTTGCCGTTAAATGAATTGTACTGACGGTGTCATTTTTTTGAAGCTGAGTTTTAAACTATTGTATTTAATGGAAAGGGTGAATTGCTTTGCAGACTTGCAAATAGAAAAGTTTCTGTGGGTTTTTTTATATTTTGTTATTGTTAAGCAGTGAGACCTAAGCCTACGCTTTAAATTTTAGAAAATGGCTTCCGGAGATGAACCGGCACCGCAGGCGCTCGATTTGGATATGGCCAAGAAATTTGTTGTGAAATGGATCCCTGCGGATTGGAATGAGGTATGTTATTAGGTTTTACTTTTTAAAAATGCATGTTTATGTGTGAGTATTGTGTTTTGTTTAGTGGAAGATCTTTGAAATATTTTATCACTTTGGTCTTGTCAACAACGTACACCTCGCATCATTTAATTCGAAGTATCAAAAGAGTCAAACGGCGTTAGTTCCTACAGTAGTTTTCCTTAAATTGCAACGCTTTAGATTTGTTGAAATGCTCGAACTGATTGGTGCACGGAAAGTTCGTCAAGCGTTGATTGGCGATACTTTTATTGTTGATGGCGTTAGACTACTTGTATGTTTTTATGTGGCTTGACAATTTATAGACACTCGCTGTAATTTATCACTCTAATTCAATACATTTAGGTTGAAAGGTATTATGACCTAAAGAAAAACGCACCGAAACAACGAGACGTAAAAGAAACTCTGAAATCACCATTAAGTGTCGAGGAGAATGACGAGATTGGAAGAAAAGTGCAGAAGCAATGTATAAACGAAAAACGAGAGTTTGTCTTTTGGGAGAGTCTTAGTTAATACTTTGTTTAGTTTCATCCACCAATTGATGCCAACGAATGGTAGCCAGCGAAAATTGTACCGAATTACCCATGGGGATCTGCCAATTGGAAAAGAAGTTGCTGTCAACATCGTCGAGACTCCTGAGGATTATAAAGAAATCCCTGGACGTCTCACCGTCTTTATGCGTCCAAAAGAAGTTGATGAGAGGTGGGTTGTAAAGAAATTTATTTCTGCTGATAAACTAAAAGTTTGGTTGTTCAACAATGATAGTGCCTCAATCACATTTGTTTTTACGTTTTGTTTTAGGTATGCCAGGATGCAGAAAGAAATGAATCGCTACGTGAGAAGTCGTCCATCCGATCAAAAGATGCCAGAAATTGGTAATCATGTGATTCTGACATTCAACAATGTTGCGTATCGCGCAAGGATTACTGGAAAGCAAGATGAGAACGCCATTCAAGCATATCTTGTTGATTTTGGCAAAATGGTGAGTTTTAACTTCCAATGAACAGCTTTTTGAGGATTGATTTTTAGGTAGTTGCAGAGGAATCATGGACAATTCACTCTGCGGCTTATCACGAATCTTTGAATTTTCATCTACCCCAAATGGTAAAAATTTTTTGTTTGAGAAAATGTTAAAAGTATGAAAGCATTAATCTTTTATTTTCTGATTTAGGTTGTTCAATGCGAGTTTGCCGATGTCATTTTTCAAGAGAAAAATGTTAGGCGAGTGAGAACGATCATTTGCAGCTTTATGTCCAATTCGAAGGTCGTCTTTATGGTTTCGCTCAAGAGATACTCGGGAGTAACTAATTTTATCCAAATGAGGGTCGGAATAGGTATGTTCTTCAGATTTTAAGTAAATTCCAAAATTTTGATTGATTTTGGAAGTTCAGTCTTATTTTGATAATGTATCTAACTTTTTTAGAGCATGAAAGTCAAGACTTTGTTTCGGCGTTGATCGATCGAAAATTGTGCACTAGAGTTGATGAGGAAGATCACATTGTATACGACCAAAAAACACTTCATGATCTTCAGAAATGTTCTACTGTTATCGCTATGGTTGGCTTTTGGTTTAAGAATAGTTTTATTATCTGCATTTAACTATTTATTTCATTTTTAATCATTTATTTTCATTAGAAAATCTTTCTTTCAGGGATTTCCTTCGTATTTGAAGCCGTTTAAAACAATTCATCAAAAAGACGATGTAATTTTGTATGACTAAACTTTCGGATTTATCGTCTTCTATGCAAAAATTAATTCATTTTATGCAATCGTTTATTATTTACAAATCTCTATTTTGTTTACATGTTTGCTAAATAAATGTTACATTTAAGGTAACGACTATTTCATGCCAATGGATTGCCGATAGAATTATTTCTGTAAGGTAAGATTGGTGTTTTGAATTTGGATTACAGGGTGCGTTTATAATACTAAAAACCTGCCTCGAGAGCCCGTTAGTAAGTAGTTTAAATTGCTTTGATCTGCTTTTCCATCCAAAAAGGACTACGGTAGCTTTTAGTGAGCGCACATTTTAGAAAGTCAATAAGAAAAGTCTGCTCGTGATGCGTGCTTTCTTGTTATTGAAAGACAAATACTGAATGTGTTACACATTGCCTGATTTTGTTCCTTTCTTCATTTCAGTGTCATCCCTTATTCTTTGATTCATCGTATTCTTTTCCTGTTCAACCCTCCGGGCATTTCGCCCCTTTTCCCCTCCATTTTCGAGGTATTTGCCTTTTCGTTCAACCACCCCACACGCACACAAATAATCCATCCTTTCTCCTATCAAATATAACTATCTTTTCTCAAGATATCGGAAAGATACGATCAATTTCATGATTTTTTTCAATTTTCTATTCATTATTTTTCTCTTTTCTATCAAGGAATCCTTTGCACAATGGTCGATGGATCAAGTCTGCTACAAAAATTTCTACTTGGATCGAGCACATCCGGCACCAGTGTGAGTTTAAGACAAAAAAAACTATCTAGCCTCATGGGTAAACCGTTTCCAAAAAGAAAAACTACCTTAATCCCAAAAGGAACGTTTTTTGGAGTATAGTATTGGACTTAATCTTTTCCCAAACACTGGCTTTTTAGAAAGTTTTCCAAATGACTTTAAATCAAAAATGAAATTTTCAGTCGTTGTCCACCGAATGATTACTTTTCATATTATACTTGTTGTGATACGATGACCGATTTGTGCTGTCGAAGGCCGAGAGAACTTATTATGTGAGTACAATGTAGCAAATTTTTAAGTTTAGTGGATTAAGCGTTAGGAAAGAAGCTCTGTACTTAATTACGGTAAGCTAAAATAATGCAACTTGTTAGAAAATGTAATTTTTAGAATATAAGCACTTTCTTTTTCGCTTAATTTACCATATTCTACAGTCAAAGCTACAGTATCTCTTTGAAGCTAAACTCAAATTTCAGTGTGATCATCGTGATTTGTCTTCTTTTATTTATCTGTTTGATGGGTTGTTGTGTATTCGGTTTTCTTTTCCGCTTTTTGCAACGAAAAAACGAGAAATCTGAAGAAAATGTGATCGAAATACAAAAAGAACAACGAGATGTCGAAGCACAAACAGAAAAAAGAGAAGAAAATGAGAGGAGTGAAAGGAGTACGATTGGAGAATATGAGAGAGATGAGGAAATCTTTCGATATGGGAAACAGAATCCACATTTGGAGACAAAATGTTGAGGATTTTCGATTGGAATAAAGATTTGCTTTAAACAGGCATTTACATAGCAAAGAAACAAGTATAGAAATAATTTAGAGCTTTCAACTAACGTTCCGAAGTTAGATTTTGTGCAAAATAGCCTTTCACCATTAATGTGCGTACCTTTCGCGTCACTTATAGGAAAAAGTAGCTTCTGGCACACGGTCCCGGATAGGCCCAATAGGAAAACCGTCCAGGCCGGTTTAATTACCCAAGTGTGCGTACCGTTCGCGTCACCTATGCGAAAAAGTAGCTTCTGGCATACGATCCTCGGATGTGAATAGCCCGAAAGCCATTCTTCCGGTTTAATTACCTAAATTTTACCTGAATACACGCTTTTCCTAAAACGAATAAAGTACCGGAGAAGTTGAGTTGTTGATAGCTTGATTGCACTGTTTCTATCTATTCAAAAATGCAATAACCTGAAAAGTTTTGAAAGATATCTCAGCAGGCATTTGTTTATTTTCTAATCATTTCGAGATATTCAAAATGATTACTTTTTCTTTTCTTAACTTTATCACTTTCTCTCTTTACTAAAAGATGCGCTGTTCGATTTTATTTTGGGTGAATTACCAAGAGACAATTCAACTATTCAAACAACTCAAAGCTTTCATCGATTATTTGCAAAAAGAGTTGAGAAAATTGCGTTTGAGCTTTCTGAAAGTTTTATTTGTACTCGAAAATTATACAGAAAAAGATTTGTTTAGAATTGTTTAGAAAATTCTTATCGAAAATTCAGCCACTAAACATCTCAAGATCTCCGTTTTTTCGGATGAAGAAGTTTTTGATGGAATTTCTGGATTATTAAAATCTCTGGAGGCTGGAGAGGAGGAAATTGAAGTGACTAAAGTGAACAGATTCATTTCAAGGCTGTTTATCGATGTTCTAGAATTTGCGAAACTACTTGAAGCTTTTATAAAAAGCAAATCGATAAAAAGACGATCAAATGCACAATGAACACAAATTCCATTTGGAAAGTGATCTTTAAAAAATTAGATAAGGTTTCTAGAACTTTCTAGAACACTAAAAAATTAGATAAGGTTTCTAGAACTTTCTAGAACACTAAAAAATTAGATAAGGTTTCTAGAACTCCGATAAACAGCCTTGAAATCAATCTGTTCACTTCAGTGACTTCAATTTTTTAACAAAAAACGACTTTCATGAAATTTCAATTTGCTGAAATGGAAAAATTCAATCTCTACGTTACAACTATTAGCCAAAAAAGGGCTATCGCTTTTTTTGATCGTCTTTTTCAACCCCAAAACACTTCAAACAATCATTTCTTACGCTTTTTCGTAACCGTAAGAATTTCCTCTCATCGTTTTTCATTGATTCCATTTGTGAAATAAAATTACCGTATTTTCTCTAATAGTAGTGCACCGAGCCGAGTTTGTGACTATTTACGGCTTCCAAAGTTTTCCCAGAAGCTCAACACTCTAATCCTCCACTAGATCTCATCGTCAGCTACATTTTCCGACCCCACATCGATTGGTTCTGATAAGCGGTTCTCGAGATTTCGAGGAATTTAGACGACGCCCTTGGTGCACTACTATTAGAGAAAATACGATATTCTGGCGCACTAGATTCAAGTCAAAAGGCTCTGGCAAAAGGCAAAAGCCTTGCTTGATTGAGCTTGAAGAATTTTGAATCCATTTACCGTATTTGCTCTAATAGCACCCTGTCGAGCCGAGTTGGTGACTATTTACGGCTTCCAAAGTTTTCCCAGAAGCTCAACACTCAAATCCTCGACTAGATCTCATCGTCAGCTACATTTTCCGACCCCACATCGATAGGTTTTGATAAGCGGTTCTCGAGATTTTGAGCAATTTAGGCGACGCTCACAGTGCACTACTATTAGAGAAAATACGGTAACCACAATTGTTTAAACTCAAAAAAATGCTTATTTCAAAGAAATGCAAAAGGAAACGCGCAGAAACAAAAGAAACTCATGTTACGGGGGAAATTTGAGAGACTGAAATGAATTTGAAGTGATTTCTATGTAAAACTTTTCACAAAGACCAACGACAAAGATTTTAAGATCATTTCAGCTTACCTAACATTTAAAAGTTGTGCGTACTTTTCGTGTCGCTCGTCGGAAACAACGGCGATTAGCAAATTCCACAAAACGATCATTTTCTAGCTATTCCGACCTTCTGAAAGTTCAGGAAACTCAAATTTTTTGAGTCTTAAAAAATTTTCAGAAATTGGAGGTTAGAGACGAACAGAAAATACCTAAATTTTGAAAGCGTATAGAAAAATTTTCTTTCAGAAATTTTTTAACATTTTTGTGCTGAAAATTAAGTACGTCATGATGTTTTCTTTAAAAGTATTCGCTGCGTTTTGCTTTTGTTTCAATATGCCAATTGATACAGTACCTCTAGTCATCGAGTTTATAGTCCTGCCTTCTCCAGCTCTTCTTACCCTACCTACTTTGTCCAGCTCTTAGCCATCCCCGGTTTCTCCAGGGATGCCCACTGCTCACCACGCGGAGGTGGCTGGACGTCGAGCAGCGCCTTCCCACTGGGCCTAATGGTCGGCCCAGTGGGAGGGGGGGCCTATGGGGAGGGGGACCTAGTGGGGGATCCTTCCCCCGGGGCCTAATGGTCGGCCCAGTGGGAGGGAGTGCGAGGATGCCAAAGACATCCCCACACGGCCAGTTGGCCACTTCACGGGTCCTGCTCCGTGTGGTTTTGCGCTGAAGGAGCGTCGACACGGTGAAGACCAAAATGGCCAGCACCCCCACACATACCGAAGTTTTGCGCCAAATGGGCGACGACACGGTACGGATCAAAACGATCCGCCCCCTTCGGATACGGCCAGTGTTACCCGGACCGGAACAGATTGCCGAATGTGAAGCAAAAAAGCTCGGGTTAAGTAAAAGCCCTGCGCCAGACGGCGAGCGATTACGCCGCCGCAAAAAGAACACCTAACTAGATAGGAGTGAGACAGTTTTGTTGGCTGTCTAATAGCTATATTTTGATAGATTGAGATCATTTTATTTTTCTAACCTTGAGAGTCCCTTGCCCTAGTAATTACAATAGAGCCAACAGCGACGAGTTGCTTGAAGAGTGCACAGAATTCGCGAGAATAAAACTATAGCTTTTGGCTAGGGGAGAGTGATTTAAAATCAATGAAAATTGGTTTTCTTTTCTTTCTTCTAAATCTTGTTTTGTTTATTCTAAAGGTTATCATTCAAATCTGCATTTTGTGTTAAATGAAATGGAAAGGAATGGAATGGAAAGGAATGGAATGGAAAGGAATGGAAAGGAATGGAATGGAAAGGAATGGAATGGAAAGGAATGGAAAGGAATGGAATGGAATGGAATGGAATGGAATGGAATGGAATGGAATGGAATGGAATGGAATGGAATGGAATGGAATGGAATGGAATGGAATGGAATGGAATGGAATGGAATGGAATGGAATGGAATGGAATGGAATGGAATGGAATGGAATGGAATGGAATGGAATGGAATGGAATGGAATGGAATGGAATGGAATG